ATACCACGCTGAACGCACGCCATCCCGTTCGATCTGGCAAGTTAAGCAGCGTTGGGCCTGGCTAGTACCTGGATCGGAGACGGCTTGGGAATCCCAGGTGTTGTAAGCTTTTGTAAAAAATGATCGAAATTATCAGAGCAGAGATAGGATTGTTTATTGAAAAGTTTGACAGACGCTGGAAAGTGTTCAAAGTGAACGAGGGTGTCGTGGTTCAGAGGCAATCGCCCTGCTGATCCCTCAACACGACGCATCCAGGTGGTTCAGAGTCCCCGTGAGCCCCAGACCTAGGACTCACGTCATCCCAGGGGTCCTCCTCGGGGACCACACTGGTCTCCCCCCAGTGCAGCCTCCGCTCCCCGAGGGTCTACAGGGTTCCTATCCCAGGGGGGTTGTGGGGGGAACTTGCGGTAGCACTGTCCCCACGGCTGGTCTACCCCTGGCCCGGCCACAAGGACCAGACCAGGGATTCCCTGGCCGCCGGACGCACAACCGGTAGGACTAAGCAAAACACACAAGCCTACGAAATGCATGACACAACATCCTACAGCGCCTTAGTCGGGCCCCAGCCCTGGCGCTCCCCTGTGCTTGCCCTGATACATGAGTAATAACACAAACAACACAAACTATAAACACTCACATTTATTGTTGCGGGAAACCTTGAACATTACCAACTTCCTTCTTCCTACTCTCATTCCTGCCGTTGTGGACGACCAATCCATCTGACCATAGTTGGCGTAGTTCGCGGTAAGAGCGGCAAGGTTACTCTGCCGGCCTGCGCGAGTGATAGTCCTCGTAGCGACAGGTGCTACTCGGACCTGCACTCCACGTGAGCCTGGCATTGACCTTCTCTACAGGCAGGAGAAGGGTATTCTCCTCCCCGCAGGGAAGGGTGCCAAGAGAGCAACGCTGCGCGGAGTCTCTCGCCGGCCGCTTTATATAGCAGCACGCAGCGGGACATCACGTGGCCCGCGCCTATTGGTTGACGCGGAGCAGCGCATAGTTTGGCCGTAGGGCGCGACAGAGCTCAGGCGCTCGGCGAGCCCGGGGCAACAGTCGCGTTCCGCGACAGAGGGCGTCTCTCGCTTACGACCATACCACGCTGAACGCACGCAATCCCGTTCGATCTGGTAAGTTAAGCAACCTTGGGAAGGTCCCGAACAGAGGTCTGATCCTTTTTTCCGCTGGCCCATTGGTGCTACAAGTGAGCCGACCATGATGCTGCGTACGCGAAGGAACTTCTCAACACTGTGAGGGTTGGCAGAACGGCGCGAACCACTACTGCTTCAAAAAACTCGGAGAGTGGAACCCTCACCGTCAATGATCCAGTTTTCGGGATGTTGCACACAGTATGGAGTCCTGGTGGCTTCATTTGAGCTGGTCTACTCGAAACGGAGGTGGGAGCAACCAGAGGAGGAGTAAATGTTTCATCCTCCCAACGAGTTCAGGGCCAGCTCGTACCTCCACAGACATGGGAAGCTTTGCTGGCTCGGACGGGAGCCGATTCGGGGTCTGATCCCTGGAAAAAGCAAGTGGTAAGTGGCTCCACTTGCCAGCACACTACCTCCGCTCTATCAAAATATTAATATAATTGTGATACTCCACTATATTCTTAGCTACTGCATTTGATTTTGGTGTTCAAGAGGAGAACCGCTAATCTAGGACAGAAGAAAATGCCCTACCAAAGTTTGTTCCAGGTTTTTTTTCTGCAGCCGTAACGGCGCGCCTCCCTCTGTCATAGGGCCCGGCTTCGCTTAATCAGCGGTACTTGCCACCATTCCATAGACGGTGATACTGGTGAAAATAGCAGGCATGCTGCTGTGGTTAAGGACCGTTGACCATGTTTGCAGATAAACAGAAAGCTGGCTATAAGTCGAGCATTCAAAGATACGAAAGAATGCACGCTCGGCGAAGCTGGACCATACCACAAAGGCTCTAAGCGGCTTGATAACTGGTGAAATGGCAGTGAGCCGACGTACTCACAGTCAGCCAGGTGTTGATGAACTCAGAATCAGCTACATTATAGAAGTCGAAATCGTCACGAGGCGGTCTAAGGATCTAACATATCCCGATCTATGCTATGCCGTCGTATCCGGGGGCCCTTTCCCCTTTTGTGTGGACTTTGCCGCTTATCAAGGAGGTCGTCAGGACGTGGCGCGCTTTTTGAAAACGGTTTCTTGCATGATGTAGTCACGTTCATGGACTACCAAACTGACGTTCATTTTTCCTAACGGCTCTGGGAATACCAAAAAAGGAGTGAAAAGAAGTCTATGGGAACCGAATGGTTTTGAGCCTCTATGGCTCCAAATCACTTGCAACTTTGACCAATTGCTGAGTGGAGGGTCCTTATAAAGAATGGTTTCTTCGATGATCGGAGCGGTATGCATCATCAACCATCGGAAGGCATAGTGGATAGCGTGGAGGATTCTCAATAGGACAGCGCGGGTGGGATGGTTCGACTTCCCTCGAGTTGCGAGTTCTTGCATTTTTTAGTTTCGCTATTCTCGCTTCCATAAATGTCTGTGCATGAGTATAACATGGATATTTGCCATTTATGGGCAAATTCTTAACGGTAGTACCCCGTGAGTCGGTGCTATTCTACTATTACAATTTTCTCATACATCAGCAAGGCTGTTTCTGTAAGTTGATGTTTATGTGTGAATAAAAGCCATGATCATGAATATATATATTGAAATGTGAGAATAATTATTGAATATATACTTACTATAACGCCAAGATCTTATTCACCACGAATTCATTGTGTACACTCATATAGAAGCGTTTCGCGCTACTTCTGAGATCCAAATTGCCATCAGCGCTAAAAATAGTGCAGTATTCGAGTGTCAGGACCATCGACTACTCCTGTAGACGAAGATTGGCTCGAAAAAAACTTTTTTTTTACCTTCTTAAGTTTGTGTATTTGGCTATATCCACAAATCTTTTCTATTTGAACTCGTGCTTTGTCTGGTTATTCATATTCCCATTTATGATAAATAAACAAAAAACTGACAACAAGCATAACATGTTGAAAAAAGAAAAATTTAGTCATCCTCCAGGTGGCATCTGAAGCCGAAGAAGAGTTGATATGAATCTTTTCTGTCGCTTAGGCGGAGAATTGGCACATGTTTGTTAGGCGAGTAGCGCGTAGGCCGGACGACAAATGGGTCCACGATGGTTCTTCACTGTACATATTCCATCAATCATCTAAAGGTCTATACCAGCATGGGAACCGTCCGACCTTCGGTGCAGCAAATTTACATCGTTACGTCATCGTGGCTACGAACTTGTGAGACTCTAGTCATCATACTCTCCTCGTCATTACGGACTGTCGGGTCGTATTCCAGCTTAGTTGAGTGCATCCCACTGTTTGAAAGCCCGGTCTCAGCCTTTATCTTTTGAAAACGCGTATGCGACAAAAAGTGGTAGAAAACGAGTAATGCGAAGGATATAATACATCGATGCCACTTTCCCGTTTCAACAAGGGTGCAGAAAGAGACTTTGCCACGGCGGAAAAACTGCCAGCCGCAGTACCCGCCAACGACAGTCCGTAATGATGAGGAGAGTAGTCAATCAAACGGTCCGCCGCAACCCGAAAAAGTCGAAAAGTCGTTTTCGGTCGAAACTAGGAAATAAGCTCAGATCAATTTATAGATTCACTTCTAAACAGGACCAATTGAAGGAAAGGACAATGGAAAATGGGACGCGTTGTTAGGTTGCGCTCATAGTTTGTCACGCTCAAGACAAGAAGATTCGCAAAATAGAAGTCTTCTGTTAAACCCTGGATCCTTCTGTCAAAATCGACCAACAGCGACATTTCCCAATACCATCATGAATTCGTCCTCCAAACTTTCTTTTCAGAGCTTCTAATCAATAGAGTAGAGAAGTCCACTTTTGTTGTTGGCTCTAAACTTCTTTTATCTAATCTCTCACTATTTCCACGTTCATCCAACCTTTACCACGTTTTTTAGTGTCATATACTCTGGAAATGTATTTACGAACCTTCCTTTACTCAAAACAACCTATCGGTTCCGTATTTTGGGGTTCTCACCGGGGCTACAGCATCGTTGTGTGGACAACATAGGGGATCGTACTTTTCCGCTGGGAACGGGGGGGAAGGGTCGTATGTGGCTTACAGAGGAATTTGCCACGTTGGGAAGAAAATTTTTTTCCCGGCTGTTGACTTTTCGTGATCCTGTTTCATGGGTACTATGTACCCCCCTCCCCGCTCAACACCAAACTTTTTGGGGAAAACTGGGAAATGGAAAATGTTGGGAAATCGGAGGTATGTTGTTAGCGGAAGTACGATAACGCGGACCGCTACCTTAGGTTGCGAAGTTGTTCACTGGCCGCCACATAGCTGCACCCTGCCGGACTTTAGGACATATCAAGTTTGATGCAAGGCAATGATTACTACTTTTCACAGAGCGAGGCAATGGTTTTACGTCATGGTCAGCGCCACGAGCACTGAAACATAGTAATGTTCTGCACAGAAGGGGTGTGGGGCGTTACTTCCAGGCCGCGGCATCGCAGTAGGTCCAGGCCGCGGCATCGCAGTACGAGATATGTAGTTGACGGGCAGCGCCGCTGCCATGTCGAAATGGCGCGTCGGCTCTGTCTTCTGAGTAGAAACCTACCGCGGTCAGCGATTGAGAAGTCGTATTCTAACCCGCGCACAATATGCCACTAATCCGCGTGATATGGCGCGGTGTCATCTCGGTGCACTCTGAAGAAACAACCGTAGTCAGCTCAATACATGTGCGATCTTGTCGAGAGATGGTAAGCGGAAAAGATATGAGCTGGATACTGATAGTCGACCGAATGATAGGAGATCCCATTGTGGCTTTCAGTCGGTCAGCAGCAGTCAGCTTCAGCGGTCTCCGTGGTATGTGTTATATCCACTACCTTCTAGATGAATCGTTCCATATTATGGTGAATTTCAGAGCTTTGTGAGGAAAACAGTGATCAAGGTCTCCAAGTAAAAAGCCTCGCTAGTACTTTCTACAATGCCGGAATTCTTCCCAGTTGGGAGTACGGTGCGTATGATCCGATTTGAGTGGAACCACTTCCTGGACACCTTCAGTTTCAGCAATGTTTGGCCACTAAGTGCACGTCGTACGGTGTCTATCAACACACATGTTGTGGGATTACCCTGAGCGAATGCTGTGGAGCCGTCACCGTAAGCAATTCGTTCACAGTTCACAACAATGATGAATCCACTATATAACATGGTTCCTTCAATGTCATGATTGTATTGCTGTTTATGATCCCCTCAAAAAACACCCTGAAAATGAATGTTTCAGATAGCCGGATGGGTGTTGGCTGGTGCACTGGTCGCTATAATTGTGATTGTGGTTTTCCTCGTTATTTGTAAGCGATAGTACTGCACTATAAAATTCCACAACAATACCCTTCATCACAGGACCATCCATGGCCTTCAATCAGAGACAATTCGGCAACTTTTTGTGTCACGTGTAGCTCTAGTTACACTTATGGTGTCTGTAGCTTGTGAACTGTGCTCACGTTTGTTTTGTCTTCAATAAAAGTGAAGATAACGATGCTGAACTCATCGCGAAACGAACTGACTCCTCAGCCGATATGTGGAAACAGTTTCTAACTGTTTACTGGACCTTCAAACCCGTTGCAGTACAGTAAGGCTGCGTTTATACTTTGCGGCAGCGTAGCGTAGCGCTTCCAGCGTACGCCAGCGGCAGTGCCGGGGAGAGGATGCATATCGATCTAGCGTTCCCAGCGTCGCTGGTGACGCTGGGAACGCTAGATCGATATGCATCCTCTCCCCGGCACTGCCGCTGGCGTACGCTGGAAGCGCTACGCTGCCGCAAAGTATAAACGCAGCCTAACATGTTTCCCCATGATGGTCGGTAGCAGACGATGTCTTTATCGTCGCGATTTATGCGCATGCTTTGGGGATTCCGAGTGGATGGGTAACGGGGCGCTTGTCAACCAGACGTGATCTCGCTGCGAGGGCCCGGGGGTATTTTCTCGAGGTATCGCCAGTAGTTGAAGTGAGAAGGTGAAAGAGGAGGGAACAGAGAAGGAAGAAGGAAAAGAAGGAAGGAGGAAAAAAGAGAGAAGAGAGCCTCCGCGGTTGACAGGTGCCCTGAGCGGTGTGAGTGAGTGTTACGTAAGCCCAATTGCCATTGGAGCGCGGTGTTAGGCCGCGTTCACACACAGCGCCGCTGAATTCTAAATCGATAGGTATACTTTGCGTATTCTAAAAATTCCGCGGAGGCCACAAAGGCCAGGGGAGGCGCTGTGTATGAACACGGCCTTACTTTAGAGCATGATACGCGAATACCCAATAATACCTAATATCTAATAATAATAATAATAATAATAATGATAATAGAACACTAATATCTTAAAGTTCGGTCACTCAACGTCCCTCTGTATACCAATCTCGGAACCGACGGTCTCAATTCCTGGGGCTGCAGCGAGTCAGGAAGGGACCTCACGCGTCTAAGGTCCCCTTATCAAATCTTATCAGGTGTTATCAGCTTCTGTCACACCAATCATGTCCACCCCCTTTCCCCTACACCACTTCTCGAAATCAATGTCCCACGGTTGCTGCAACCTGCGCTAAGAATTTGGTGACACCCGCGTCTAGGGTCCCTTATCGGATCTTATCAGATGTTATCAGCTCCTGTCAGCCCCCCATCTACGGCATATCACTGCTTGAAACCAAGGTCCCGCAGCTGCTGCAACTTGCCCGAATTCGGTCCCCTCCCTTCTGGGCCCCTTATCCAATCTTATCAGCTGTTATCACCTCCTGTCACCCACCAAAAGTGTTCCTGTCCAACCCCTATATCATATCTTGGAATTAACTTCCTAAACGCTACTGGGACCGCGCTATGAATTTCGTGACAGACAGACGCACGGACACGGACACACACACACACAGCCCAACGCCAACACGCGCGCACACGTAGCACCGCACGCGACGCACGCATGTAGGCCACGCAAGACAACATACAACTATTAGGTTGTCCGGAAAGTTCTGCAGGTTTTGAGTGTTTAACTTTAAACGATCATAACTTTCTTAACACTCATCGGATTTAATCCAAATAAGCACCATTCGAATCAGCACACTTTTGCCAATGTGACAGCAGTCGAGAAATCCCATAAAGAAAAAAACTGCTGGGTGCTTCGACATTCACGAAATCCACTAAGGTCTTTTTTGCCTGGTCCTAATTGATGAAGTATTTTTCAGCAAGGAAGTTCTGAAAATGTTTGAAAAGGTGATAGTCGATTGGCGAAAGGTCTGAAGAATATGGCGGTTGAGGTAGAACTTCAACCCCCAATTCGTTCAATTTATGGATAGTGATTTGTGAAACGTGTGGGCGGGCGTTGTCATGCAAAGGAATCGGACCCTTTCTTTTGATAAGTGTTGGCTGCATCTGACAAAATTTTCGGTACAATTCGTCGATTTCTTCACAGTAGGGTTCTGCTGTGATGGTTTGGCCTGGTGATAAAAAGTTATAGTGGATCACACCAGCCGATGACCACCAAGCCGTGACCAGAATCTTTTTTTCGTGAGGGTTCGGCTTTGAAAATTACCTCGGTGGTTCGTGATTTATCCGAGCTTTTTAACCTTCCCAATGCGTTCCAGACCATCTGCAACAGTGGATTGCCAGCTAGCTTTTTCTCCAGTCTCTGCGAACTATTTTGGACCTGGGTCAGCTTTGAAAATCCACCTTAAAATCCCTCGTCAGATATTGCTTTAGGTCGACCGCCATGAGGTTCATCTTCAGGGCTGAAATCTCCAGAACGAAATTTGTTGAGCCATTGCAGCACAGTGCTTTCTCATAGTAAAAAAAAAAAAAAAAAAAAAAAAAAAAAAAAAATCAGCTATTGGGCCCCCACACCTGGTTAATTTGTTGAGCTGTTTCGATTGCGGATTGCCCCAATTTATAGTCGAAGAAAAAAATCGTCCGAAGTGCTCTTTTCACATGCTTGAAAAAATCTTGAAAAAAGGGGGTTCATCAAGCAATGGTGAAACGGCAATTATACCATCAGATAGCAAAGAATTCTCTTCAGGATGTACTACTGAGACGCAAGGGAGAATGAGTTTTTAATCAGCAATGAATGTGCAAAAAATAGTAACACAAAACCTGCAGAACTTTCCGGACAACTAATACATACCTAGCGGATTATATACAGGGGGGGGGCCAAAAAAAAGTCATTTTGCCTCCATGACTTTCAAGGCGCTATAAGTTACACTTTATTAAATTTTTATCGGACATTTTTACCATATTAAAGAGCACATTAAATACTATAATGATACTCCGCCACAGCCTTCTGGAGGAGCGCCATCGAGAGATTCGGCCGCGCGAAGTGAGTGGGTACCGGAGTTGAGCGAGATCGTTGATTTCTCCGCCACTGTAGACCACCCTGTTGAGCTCCGCCCGAACCGAGTAATTGAGGGGGTTTAGTTCAGGACCCCCGCTTAAATACTCCATCTTTTCCAGGTACTCAACGTTCTTCCATTCCAAGTAGGCGAAAGTTTTTCCAACGCCCGAGATTCCACGTGGTGTCACCCAATCCTGTAGCAGTACAAAGTTAGAAGGTACGGGCGACGACATGAAGATGGGATATTCTCCTCGAGTTGCTCGATGTAGCCACCAGCGCACACCCTCAGTCTGGGGCCCACGAAGAAAATATCGGTTCATCCATTCCAGGTACGGTCCACACCATCAACCCGCGCCTTGGTGAATGGGGTGAAGATGATGTCCTGGACCGTAGCGACGTTGCCGGAGCTGCTCGATGTTTGAGGTCTTGCAGATCAAGAGTACTGGTCTCCAGGTAGCTATCCATGGGTGATTCCATTCAAGAAGTTCCGCAGCTGTTTGGAGGCCACGTGAATTCCAAAGGCGTTCTCCACTCAGGCCGCGACTGGAGATGACTTCATATTTTGGTGTACATGAAGGTGAATGGCGGCAGCCGGCTCCTGCTTATAGAGGAAGATCTTGGGTATCTTCCCTGGTACTCATATCCACTTCCTCTGTCTGGGCTGCGAAAACTTCGCTCATATGTGACTCGGCCGGAATGACTTTTTTTTGGGCCCCCCCCCTGTATATAGTTGGCGCCTACTCTTCATGTTTTCCCCTTGCGCCCTCAACGTCTGCATGGGCGATGCGCGCTCGCTGACCTTTTCAACTTTTCTACCACTCGCAGCTCGCTCAGTGCATTAAGGTTAAGCGGACAGTCCTTGCAACTCAAACCGCCTTTAAACGCATCGATCTTTCCCGTTTTTTCTCTTCAACGCATCGATCTTCTGTTTTTCTCGGTACTCTCTCCTCCGCATGGTGCTCTGTGGTGGGGTGACTCCGCACATCCCAGCTCGCCAACATGTTTTTGCGTTTCGATGCTTTGGCAGCCGCTGCCCTCTATCCGTCTGCGTCACAGGGTTTCGTAACAGGACCATGCACAAAAGTTCAAGATGTCACGTAAGCCTTTGTGACGCTCGACGCTTTGACGGCCGCAATTCTTCATTTCTCTGCGCCCTGGACTTTCGCTGCAGGGCCTCCTTCAAAAGTTCTGGTTGTCACGTGACCCCTGAACATTTTTAAGCGGAGAAAGTGGCATGTTTCTGCAGCTGCGGAATCATTCACGTCGCTCATGGCAAGGACCACGATCTACGGCGGGAAATGTTTAGTTTATCTAAATTTCTCACAACTGCTCCGCAGCAAAAGCAAGGGATCTCAAGGAAATTGCTACTGATGTATTTAGTGCCGTAAAAGAGGGAACAATTTGGACATTCTTCATTGTGAACTACTCCTTTTGGAGTGGCCGTAGGCTAACTTGAGCAGCTATCCGATCAGACGACCCTCACTGAGAAGGCCATCGCATGTTGGCTTCCAAAGGAGACACGGGTCGATGCGATGTCGTAGAAAAGGTGAAGCGACCAAAGGGGGAACGAGTGACCTGAACATAGGAAAAGAGGTTAAACGCAGCCAGCAATCGTACCAGAGCCCGGCCACTTGGAATCCTGATTACCAGCGTTCTTCGTATTTCAAAGTTTGATTGAAGTAGGCCGACACTTGCTTCATTAGTGAGGCTTCAATAAACACAATCATGGGTCCTGATCTGTCTGAGAATGTTGTGGAAAACAAGAAGCCACGAATAGCACCATCGAGTTCCATGCCCTGTATCTCTCGCACAACGAATAAAAGATATCGCTGTATATCGGCTGCCCACCCCTTGGTTCTGTTCTTTGCCACTGAGCGCATTTTTTGCTGCGGAGACTCTGTATCGACGCAAGTGTTGCACCTTGCAGAAGACACGGGCGAAGTATGGGCATTTCTGCCTCTGAGCCCAATTCGCGTGCTCTTCTGGGCTGAAAACTGTACGCTGCTGCAACTGCGGACCCATTCACCTGCACATAGGGCGGACCGTCCTCGTAGGTGACCTATAGGAAGGGGAAGTAGGGTACGTGTATGGGTTACCAATGAACAGGGCAATAGCAACGAGCGCGAGACCGCAGGGTTGGACACTGCCAGCTCCTCAGTGCCTTACGATGAAATTGACTATGTCCACCGAGGGTCGCAATGTAACTTATGGCAAATAAAGTTTGAAGGCGAACCTCGCGATCACATAGATAATAGGTGAAATGCGGAAGACAGCCTCCAAGTTACTGAATACAGTAAGCAGCAAAAGTGTAAGGGTACCTCGAAATTTGACTCACAAAAAATCTTTGATTTTTGCGAAATGGGACCTTTACTGTTCAATTTTTCGGTAACGTCGCGCAAACTGGATTGAGTTCGGTGCAAGATAATGACTACTACTTATTCGAAGACTGACGCAGTGCTTTTCCGTTATGGTCAGCACGAGCACTGTAACATCTGTAGAACTATTCCGCACAGAACCAGTGTGAGTCGTTACTTCCAGGTCGCGACATCGCCGTAGGTGTTTATACGGGATATATACACCCCTTATCCCTGAGCCAGAGTAGGCGTGGCATTTGAACATGGCACGGAATTGGTTACTCGTGGAATTCCAGTCTGGGACAACTGTCATCTTGTTCTGTGTTGGACAGAGACACGACAACAATTGTGTCAAGATGAAAATATCTCACCAGAAGCATAGACACCTTCAGGTTAAGTTGAAGCATGCGGCCACGCCTACCCGATCTCAGGGATTTCGAGTATAGTTGACGCGCATCGCCGCTGCATAATGATGTGACGTCCCGGCTCAATCTCCTAGGTCGAGTCCTACTGCGGACAGCGACTGGGAAGCCATACTCCTGCCGCGCAGAACATGCCGCTGATTCGCGCGATATGGCGCGGTGTTATCTCGGCGCATCCTAAGAAACAGCCACAGTCAGCCCATTACATGTGAGTTCTTGTCGAAAAATTATAGGCAAGCGGAAAAAAATATGGGCTGGATACTGGTAGCCGACTAGATGATAGGAGATTCCATTGTGGCTTTCAGTCGGTCAGACACAGTCAGCTCCAGCAGTCTCTGTGGTATGTGTTATATCCACTACCCTTTAGATGAATCACTTCATGCTATGGTAAATTTCAGAGCTTTGTGAGGAAAACAATAGTCAAGTCTTGAAATAAAAGTCTGAGTATTACTTTCCACAATGCCGGAATTCTTCCCAATTGGAGAAAAGGTGCATTAAATTCAAGCTAAAGGGACCACTTCCTGAACATTTTTGATTTCAGGATTGTTTGTTGAATAAGAAGTGCACGTCGTTCGGTGTCTATCAAAACTATTGTTGTGGGATTACTATGAACGAATGCTGTGGAGCCGTCACCGTAAGCGAATCATTCACAGTATTAAAACATTAATGATTCATCTCAGTAACTATGATTATGCCTCTAGATTATTTGTATTGTTGTTTATGATCCTCTTTGAAAAGAAACACGTTGAAAATGGACGTTCCAGATAGCGGGATGGATTTTGGCTGGTGCACTAGTCGCTATAATTGTGATCGTGGTTTTCCTCGTTGTGTGCAAGCGAT